AGAGACAGAGACAGAGACAGAGACAGAGAGACAGAGGGAGAGGAAGGGAGAGAGAGAGAAGAGAGAGAGAGAGAGGGAGAGGGAGAGAGAGAAGAGGTAGGCAGGGCCCTTCTAAAAGGCAACATAGGGAACACAGTGAATGTGCACAGGTGGTGCTCTTAGTGGCTGCAGCTGAGGGCGTATCCTGTCAGAATCCCAAGAGCAGGCCAGTACAGACGCCTGAATACTTACAGTAATCACACCTGCAATTTTTCCGTGAGTCTATCACCAGTCTTTTGTTCACTCAAGAAGCTCCATGAGAGTGAATCTAGTTAGAAGCTTGGTACTCTAGACAATATTTTAGTTGAAAAATCACATCTTTGAGAATTTTCTCACTGTTCCAAACTGACTTCGTGGTACTGGAGCAGAAGGGGTTTCTGTAAAGAGCCAGAGAGTAAATACAGCAAAGGACATTCAGTTTATGCTAGAGATACTCATAAAAATAAAATATAAAAAAATAAAAATGAGTGAGTGTAATAACTATATTCTAATAAAACCATGATTCAGAGAGAGAAAGATTGAGCAAGCAGGCAGCTGGCTGGTTGCCCTTATTTCAATAGGATTGTAGGATTCTTTACACTGAAACCAGTTTCTAAGAGTCTGTTTCTCCTTTCTTCTTTCCTCCCCTTTCTTCCTCCTTCCCTCTGAATTTTCTTGCCTTTATTAAAAAATTATTATAGCAGATTATTAAGACATTCTGATTACAGCTTTTGGCAATGGATAAAATAGTTTAGGTGTTAAGCATTATAACGTATTAGCTGAGAAAGTAGGATTCAGGGGCATGTGGCTGCTTCTGTTGATTAAGTGGAGGGGATCTTCTGAAGGAGGAGGAGCATCCTCAAGATCCTGTCAATCATGTCTGTTCATCGTGGAACACTATTTCTACATTGCTAGGGTTTTGGAGTCCAGCAGAGATGTCTTCCAGGACTGCTGCAAGCCTTTTCTAAGACCTTTCTTAAAACAAATGGATGAAAGCATCATCTAATGACGGGCTAGTTGCATTCTATGTTGTAATGGTATGAGACAATCTATTCTGGAGATGATCTATTAATTTTCAATTTTCCATGCACTTCCCCTACACTTAGTGTTAAAAAACTTCAGTTTCTTTGTGACCTGAAGTCATTAAAATTTCAGCACAATGGCTTTCAAAAAATCATCCTTGCCCTGGCTAAGCTACCAGAGATTGTGGCAGCACCTTCCAATTCTGAAACAAAACAAAACAAAACAAAACAAAACAAAAAACGTCTTTGGCCTTGGAGACATGTGTCTTGTGAAATATGTCAAAAAAGAGAATGCAACTATGTAGTTCAGAGTAATGAAGAAGAGGGAATAGGAAAACACCCTCTGACATCCAGTAGCTAGTCTGCTACGTTGGTCAAGCTCTGTTATTCTCCTATAAGACATAAGCAATCACATAACACCATGCTCAGACATTATTTGGAGAACATACATAATAAAATGAGACAATACAAGAACAGTTAACAGTTCTGCCACAAGATGCAGAGCATGAGTGAGTGCTATTTTTTTTAACCCATCTTAAAGCTTCCCAACTTTTTGACAGCATCTATTTAGAGGCAACTTGTTTCCTTAGGCTCTTCCTCAAATGACCTAATGGAAGCCCAAGTCCCATAACTGGACCTTTCTGACACTCTCAACTGAGACATCTCATGACCACCAATGTGCCCTCTGTAACTCAACTTGTTGACTCAGAATTGTGTTCATGATGGTCTTTGCTAAAGGACATTAGTGATGTTATGAGGATCAAAATCCATGCTTGAAATAAAGCTTTGTCTTTGAGAATGTTTCATTGCCAGAATAGAATAAAGCACAGAAATAAATTATAAGGATGTCTTGACAGGCACAAACTGTAGAAAATCTCATGTGTGGGATGCCAAGGGACTAGGATAGGAGAATAAACTCAGGTTAGTGGGTTGACTGTACAGGACCCTGGAAGGCAGAGTTAGGGAAGGGTCGACGGGAGTAGGTGTAGGAATGTAAAGGGCAAAGAAACTGTGTTCTCTTCCTTTGTGGATTTTACCAGGATCAGCTTCTGGAGCTAAAGATCAATTAGCCAGGACTCAGAGATAATGTACAAAACATGATTGACTTGGTGGTGTTATCTATAGTCCCAGTCTTCAAGGAGGCAAGTTAAAGACAAACCTTGGGTTACATAGTGAGTTCCTGGCCAGAGAGCTGCATAGTAAGTAAGATCTTGTGTCAACTCCCAGTGTGCCCTCAGTCCAAAATCAGTAGAGCAGCAAGCAACAGCAAGAGTCTGTGAACATCCAAAGTCTGAGGGAAGGCATGGCATTTTTGGCCTCTTGATACTGCCGAAGATATGCACAGCAGTGGGCAGAAACTTCTTAAATGAAGGAGGAAGTTAGGAAAAATAATTGTTGACTGAATAAAAAAGAACACATCTTGCTAGTCTCAAGGGAGCCTACCCTCACTATTTGCTATTGTCATGCATCAGGGAGAGGGGGAATCATTGCCTTCAGTGTCTACTGTGACCCCCACCAGGCTTCAGTGGTCACACCAGTGGCTCTGGTTGAAGTAAATAGGTCACCCAATGCAACACTAAGTTATGAATCTGGGAAAGGGAAAGTAAAGGTTGATAGGAATGGGGAGGTGCTAAGAGGGGGAGACACTCACACAGAAAGAGAGAGGGAGACACACACAGACAGACAGACAGACAGACAGACAGACACACACACACACACACACACACACACAGAGAGAGAGAGAGAGAGAGAGAGAGAGAGAGAGAGAGAGAGAGAGAGAGAGAGAGAGAGAAGGATTTATCATATATCTCTCCAATCTATACTTTTCCTGGATTCACCTTATCACTTCATTTAGTCTGAATCACGAAAGTTTAGTACACTAGTACACTGTGAACTCGTTCTCTGGTTATTTTATATTTTCTTCAAGCTTTTGGTTCGAAAGACATGCTGTAGTAAATATGCTAATGCCTGTGTCAGCATGGATCTCATATGATGTGAGTTTGAATCTAGGCTCTGTCAGTTACCAACCAGTTACTAATGTGCTCTTGAGCCTGTAGCTTAATCCCTTCATGCCTTAGAGCTAGTGTCTGGAAAGTGAGGAAAGAGTTAGTTTCCATCTCAGGAGACAAGGATTTGATTGTTTTTTTTTTGTCCCCCCCAGCAGGGGTGTGTGTGTGTGTGTGTGTGTGTGTGTGTGTGTGTGTGTGTGTTCGAACACACACACTCACATGTGTGCATCCCACAGCATGCTGATAGAAGTCAGAGGACAATTTGTGGGATTCATTCTACTATTCTTCTACCATTTGGGCATCAGGTTCTGGGGATTAAACTAGGGTAGTCAGGGTTGGTAGCAAGCACCTTTAGAGGCTGAGCCATCTCACTAGTCCCCTATTGAAAGACTTAAAGTCAAGACGCATATAAAGAACATTCCTGGTGTTCCGAAATACCATTTCAGTTTTAATTGTTTTTTTAATTACTAGGGAAAATTATAGATTAGGATATTCTACAACCTATCATTAACATATTTAGTCTTGCTTGTATTTCCAATTTGCTCTCCAAAGCTATCTAATCATCTCATATTTTTATTAGCTGTATGACAGAGAGCTCTCTCTCTGTCCTCACAGCACTATGTGCTGTTGGAGTTTAGTTCACCCCTATATGTTGGCCAATGGTTTTAGTACCTATTCTTGATCATGACCCAGAATTTCTTTGTTACCTTTGCAAAACTTTATTTTTTTCCAACTTAATAGGTCTTCTAAAACCAGGAATCGATATTATTTGTATCAAATCCTTTTTTTTGAATCTGTTAAAAATGATCATTTGTCTTACTAAATAACCATTACAAATCAACCTCATTTCATTTTATTTTGTAAGCTACTGAATATACATTTAGTATATCTTGCTTAGTTTTTTAAAAATCAATTTCTGATAAGTCTTTTATTTCCCCATATAATATTCTCTATCCGATGTCAAGATTAAAGTCGCCTTACAAAATAAATGGAGTAGTTATCCTACTTTGCTATTTAACAAAACAATTGATAGTGTTCTATAAGCCCTACAAATGCTAAATGGGAACACTATAGAGAGGTTAGAATGGCCCCTGAGCAAGAATGACGTGCAAATTTGTGAAGCATTCCATATTTTGATGACTTTGTTCTTTGCTTCTTGTATTTTTGTTTCATATAAGGTACAAGTTAACTAAAACAGAAAGGTTCTTTCAAAAACCTACAAATGAAAATGTAATTTATATGCAATATTAGAATCGCTCAGTTTTTGAAGTTTGATAAAACTTGTCTATGTCATTAATCTAACCCTATATTTTTTTTGGGGGGGGTTGGAGGTTTTGGTGACTATTAAATAAATGACCTTAATAATTATTAGTTTTACATTTTAAAATTTGCTTCTGAACAAAGTATGATAATTCATAGCTTTTCTAGAAAATCAATTTTATCCTGGTTTTCAAGTATATTACTATAAAGTTATTTATAGTGTTTAATTATGATTTTAACTTTTTCTGCCTAGTCTTCTATCAATTTGTTTTCTATTGTTTATTTGTGACATCTATTTTCTTTCTTTTTTTTTTTTTTTTTTTTTTTTTGGTTTTTCGAGACAGGGTTTCTCTGTGTCGCTTTGAGCCTATCCTGGCACTCACTCTGGAGACCAGGCTGGCCTCAAACTCAGAGAGATCCACCTGCCTCTGCCTCCCAAGTGCTGGGATTAAAGGCGTGTGCCACCAACGCCCGGCAACATCTATTTTCTTGACATGGTTTTTTTTTCTTTTTGAGTTCTGTCTGGTCTTCAGCTATCTGAAAAGAACAGCTTTTAAATTGTTCTGCCCTCTCAATGTTTCTCTTTTAATCTTACTAATTTTGAAATCCCCCTTTTCCCTTTGTTATGCTGAGGCTTGAACCCAGGGCCTCTAACATTGAGCAAATTCTGTACCACAGGGTATCATCCCCAGGCCCTTAACCTTGTTTTTGAAAGGTTCTTTCAAAAACCTTTTTGTTTTGTTTTGTTTTTTCAAGACAGGGTTTCTCTGTGTAACAGTCCTAGCTGTCCTGGAACTCGCTCTGTAGACCAGGTTGGCCTTGAACTCACTGAGATCCATCTGCCTCTACCTCCCAAGTGCTGGGATTAATGGCATACATCACCACCGCCAGGCCTTCATTAATCTTTTAAAATATTAAGTGCAATTTATGTTTACAGCCAAACCTTTGAGGGTCCTTTTAGCAGGGTCCCACAGCTTTTCTGTCTTTATCAAGTTCCGAGTGTTTCCTAATTTTCATTGTGAGTTCATCTTTAGCATGCATGCATTTTAAAGTTATAACACACACAATTTTGTTGAATACAAATGTGTATAGTTTAATAGCGTTCAATATTTTATTTCTTACTCAGTTACATTGATGCCAGAATATATGCTAAAAGTTATATATAGAAATATTAATTATCAGGGGGAGGGAAGATTGTGATCAAAATATATTTTATATGCAAATTTGAAATAAAAATTAAAAATATAGCTATATATAGAAATTCTGTTTTCTTATTAGTAATCAGATGGTTTTTTCTTTTTTAACTGTTTAATAATTTCCTACATTTTTATGATGAATTTTAGTCATCCTTCAATCCACCTATTTTCCTTTTACTTCTTCCTCCCTCTCCTGCTGGAATCCTCAACTTTCCCATTCTACTTGGGAGAGAGAACTTTGGTTGGAATGTAAAATGAAATAAAAAAAAAATTCTAAAAAGAAAGGAAAAGTAAATAAATAAATAAATAAATAAATAAATAAAAGAGCATAGATGGAAAGCTGCTTATTGGAGCAAGAACAGCTCATCAATGACGACTTGACTGAAGAAAATGACGCCTCCTCTCTGGACAGCCGTTAATTGCTTATAGTATCTCAGGGAAGGGTGGGGCCTCATGGGTCCCGCCCTATGCATGAGGAAACATTGAGAGGTCCAGCCTTGTGCAGGTCTAGTGCAGAGAACTCATAGCTTCAGTGGGCTGGTGAGTGCAATGGCTGTATCATGCCCAGAAGATGTCTGTTTGCTGCACATCTCCTCATCCTTTGGTTCTTTATTCTTTCTGCTCCCTCTTCCGTGATGATCTTTGGCCTTGGAGGGTGTGATATAGCTTTCCGATTTAGGGCTAAACACTCCACCACCCAAACATTCTTGAACCTGTGACCAGTTATGGGCTTCTGTGTTAACCACTGTCTAGAAGCTTCTCTGATGAAGGCTGGGCATAGCACTTGTCTATGCATACAAACTTGAGTATTTAGAAGACAGTTTGACAACATGACAATTAGGAAAATAATAGTAGAAGTTTTTCACTATGGCCCATGACCTCCTCAGCCATGGGCTCTTGACTAGGAAGTAAAGTTTTCTCCTGTGAAGTGGGCCTTAAATTCAACCAGAGAGAAGTTAGTTGTCCCCATAATAGCCATGATAGTGTTGCACTAAATGATACATTGTATCTGGCAAGTCACTATTATAGTTTGCAGGATCCACAGCTATGGAAGACTGTTGATAACTTTTCTCCTCCAGTAACCTGTATAGCACCTTCTAGCACTAATGAAAGCTGGTATGGGGGAAGCCTTTAGCTCACTTCAGCATAATTTATCTAATGTCTTATGAAATTTAGTCAAATTTCATAAATATGGCAGTTGTAACTTAAATGTAGTTCTTATTTTCAGATTTGACACACTGGTGTCAAATAAGAATATATCAAAGCTTCTGTACTTCCTAATTGTAGTAATTTATTAACCTTGCAAGATATAGAATCACCCATGAGCCTGTTTGTGAGGAAGGAATTATGTAGATTCGATATCCTCTCTCTATGCCTGTGAAGGATGTTTTTGACTAGGTTGGTCAAATCCTAAATGTGGATACCGACATTTCATGGTCTTGGGTCCCAAACTACAGAAAAAGGAGAGAGCTAGCTGGGCATCGGTGTTCATCGCTCTGTTTCTCCATGGTGGACTCTTCTCACCTGGAGTGTTCTGTGTGCATGTTAACAGCCCGTGGAGGTATAAGTTACATAGCACAAAGTCCATCTGAATGAAGTATACAACACACTAATTTTTAGTACATTGATAGATTATGCAACTACTCCTGCAATTCAATATTTGCATATTTTCCTCATTCCCCAGTAGAACCTTGCTTTATTATCAGTCATTCTTTCTGGAGCTGCCTTTTACAGTTACCCCAGACTTAGACTATTACTTACTGTCTCCATTGGTTGGATATACTGACATTTCATGTACATAAATAGGAACAGATAATTTATATACAAATTTCATATACACAAATAGGAAGAAATAAGGGGGCATTGCCACTGTCTTTATTCACTGAGAATGATTTTTCAGGTTCATCCTGGTAGTTTGAATCATGTATTCATCTAGACATACTTTTCATAATTACTAGAACATTTGAGTATTCTTTTCTATTCTCTCTATGTACATTTTCTATGCTTTTTCATAGTTTCTTTTTTCTCTTGACTCTTTTTGGATTGCTGAACTTTTGTATGTTCTCAGTTTTTAACACTCTGCTTATATTGAGGCTGTTATTTTAATGGTGTTTTGGTTGTTTTTTCCTTAAAATTTAAAATAATAGTTAAGTTCAGTGTCAGGTTTCTAGGTAAAAATAGTTAGATATTGGCAACTTTTTAAAATCTAAAAGGAATTGAATAACGTTTTTCAACTTTTATTGATTCTTTGAGGATTTCACATCATGCTTCCCGATGCTGCCCCTCCCCTCCCCCACATCTGCCCTCCACTCTTGCAACCTTCTTCCCCCAAGTAAAACAAAATTAAACAAACAAACAAACAAACAAAACAAAGAAATAAAACAAACCAGAAAACACGCATCAAAACAGCACAATAACAACAAAAAGGAGAAGAACCCATTTTGGAAGCTGGATATCCTGTTGTCCTGTGTCATGGGGATTCTGCAGTTGTGGGTCTGTAGGTGCATCCGGTTCACAGTCTCCAGCAGATCACAGATGAGGTGGATGCTGGGGTGAGCCAACTCATAGCCCTGGTTCTGGTTCTGGGCCTGGGTGGTAGCAGGGTTGGTCAGCCTGCCAGCTTTCCCTCATTGTCACCATCAGAGTGAGCTCTCCAGCACTGCCTCAGCTAACTCACCCAATGCATCCTGCAGCAAGGAGCAGGGCCAGTTAGTTCTCTTGCTCTCAGGCCCTCTGGCATGAGTCACCACACTTCCACCACCAATGTCAGCGCCACAGTTTTGCCCAGGCAAGCTGCAGGGACCCTCTCTCTCTCCATTGCTGTAGGGGGTATACAAGGGGAGGGGGTCAGCTCTCCTACTCTCATGCCCTCAGGGCTGGCTCACCTGCATCCAGACAACAGGGTCAGCTCTAGTGTACTGCCCAGGTGAGGTGCATGCCCATGGTGAGGGGTGGCGCCATCTTTCCTGATTGTGGGGTGGGGGTAGGGGGCAGTTCCCTGCTGTAATATCTAGTGAGGGGTGTGGCCAGCTCAACATGGCCCTCAGATTTCAACACATTTGGTTCCTATGACCCCTGTGGTAACATGGCCCATGGACATCAACACCGACCCCAGTCAAAGCAGGACCACAGACCCAGATATGGCCCTTAGCAGCAGCTGGCCCCCAGGCATCGCCATGTCACAGGCTACCCAGATCAGTACTACCTTGGTAGCAGAATGGCACTTGAACACCAACATGTTCTCAGGTGGCTGACCAGGTATCCAGACAGTCTTCAACAATAATGGGAATCACAGACATCAACTCAGACCCTGGCTAACGTAGAGTCACATACCCAGATATGGCCCTCTGCAGGAGCACTGGCCCAGATGACAATATGGTCCCAGGTGACAGTACTGGCCACTTGGCATGGCTCTGGCTGGAGCACAGTCTTAGGCATCAACATGACCACAGGTTGTTGCCCAGACCCTGAGCATCCATGTGGCCCCTGGTGGCACTGTGGGCCACCAGATATCAGATCCTGGTTGTGGTAGGACCATAGAAATAGACATGGTCTTCAGCAGCAACCTGGCCCCAGATGTTACCATGGCCCCAAGTGACTGTTCATGCCATTCAGATCCACTCGGCCCCATCAAGCATGGTTCTCAGATGCCAACCTGGCTCCAGGTAGGAACCCAGACCACAGGCTACTTTTGTGAAATAGAAAATATCCAATAACTACAGCAATTGTTTTATTGTACAGGGTTGTTGAGTGCAGATTGCAAACACCATGTCTGACTCAGTAATTCTTCGAAGTGTGAAGAAATTTGGAGAGGAGAATCATGCTTTTGAATCAGACGGATCATGTAAGTAGCCTTTGTATTCACTCAAGGCTTGTGCAAAGAAAAGTAAAGACAAAAATGAGACTAACCCATTGAGGTTTCAAGACAGAGAAAAATCAAGCTACAGCATGTAGATTTATTGTTGGGCATATGCCTGACAACCAGCCAGTAGGCTTTCTCTAGAATCCATGTCATATCACGTCTGAAAGTTCTGTGTTGCAATGCACAATTTGTGAGTGGGTGGAAGTGTCTCCCTTGAGAACTCTTTCCTAGGTAGGGTAGGTTTGTTCATCCCTGGCCATTACAGTAACTTTGTCCTGTATCATTACTGATCACCGTGGCAACAGTAATAGTTAAGGGTTCTGCTCCTGGCAGGAATGAGAGCTTATGGGAGGGTTGTTGCAGCATCAGTCCCTGACATGTTGTGAGCATACACTCTAAGCTGCTATGCATTGATTAAATCATATGCTTCTATATTACGCAGATAGAGAAATTAGAACTTTGCAAACTTTTTTTTCAAGTTGATAAAAATCATATGAGTTATGATTCATGGAATCACAGTTTTAATCCAGTTTTCTGATTTTCAAGCCCTGTATCTACACTGTAATGTGTCTTTAGTCTTACTGCAACTGTATTAAAAATATCAGCGGAACAAACCAGGAAATGACGGCCATGGTAACAAGTATTCATCAGGGTTCTTTTCTCTGTGGCTTCCTTACGTCCCTGTAGATACCCACCTCCATTTCCTAATGACATTTGTTCTGCATGTGCTGAAAAAAAAATAACCTGCAGCTCCATCTTATAGGTTTTGGTGCTGATGAAGTATTAAAGACACCTTGTAGCCCATCTGGGGTCTATTAGACAGAAAGATTTCAGTGTTTCTAAGGAACCAACAATAAATTAATTTCCATTTCAGCAGATAATTTTAAATAAACATATTCACTTCAGCTAATTTAGAAATTATGGAGACTTCCATCAGCATGGTGGCTCACATCTGCAATTCCAGCCCTGGGGAGACTGAAGCAGGAGAATTGCCATGAGTCTGAGGCCACTGTGGACTGTAGTGCAAGGTGGCCTGCATGCACTACAGAGTGAGAGACCCTGTCTCAAAAAGACAAAACAAACTTTTTTTTTGATATTCAGAAAATACAAGTATTTTGTGATCTGGAGAAAAATCCAAATATATAGTCAAAGCAGCAGGAGGGAGGGAGAGTGGGAAAGAGAGGAAAAGATGGAGAGAGCTAACAATTATTTTATAGTATTTCATGAGTAAAAGTAATTCATAGAATTGCTTTTGGTTGACTAATGATTACGATCGTGTTGCGCTTGGCCATGATTTTATTAATCTCTTTATACATTGTTTTCATCCTGACAGGTAACAATGATAAGAAACCAAGGTGAGTGGCCATTCCAGCAGCACAGCGTCTTCTCTAGGATGGCTTCAGAGTGTTCCTGTAAACACAGAGCAGAGCAGAGCATTTTCATGCACATTACTTCCCATGCTTGGCGTGCCTAATGCTTTCCTCTCTTTAAAGCCTCGTGGGATATCCCTTCCCGACTATTCCAGGCTTCTTCTTTGCATCCAGTCCACCAGGACTGCTAGCCCACACAAGCAGGAAAGAGTGGGACGATAGGTATGATCTCATGAGTGTTAGGTGTAGCATGAGTTCTAATAGGTCTTAGTAATGAAAACTCGGAGTCAGCTATCAGGGGGTGAAAGCTGAAGGATCAGAGAAGCAAAGCAGCCAGTCACTAGAGTTCTAACCTCTACCAATGCTCAGACCGAAGGGGCTATCCTGTCCATCCTCCAACTGACTACTACAGAATGCCGCCTCAAAGGAACGCTCCTTAGACTGCATCCTCAGACTGACTGCCTCTTATATTCCTCTCTCTGCCCAGCCATATCACTCCTGCCTCCACCTGCCTAGTGTTGGAATTAAAGGCGTGTGATCCCAATGCTAGGATCACCTTTGTGTGAACTCTGTTTCTCTCTTACTCTGGATCAATTTCATGCAGCCCAGGGTGTTCTTGAACTCTATCCGTGAAGTACTGAGATTAAAGATGTTTGCAATCACTGCCTGGCCTCTCGTGGCTAAGCTCTGCGCTCGGATCTTCAGGCAAGCTTTAGTTGTTAAAACACAAACAAAATATCACTACAACTTCATCCCACCTCCAAGAGGTGACTATATAAACCTAAAGTTGAATTCTTAGAGCTTTCTCTTCAGCACTTGAATTGACGTGTAAATTGTATATGGGGCAGGATTAGATGGGGTTGGCATCAGAACAGAGGCACCAGGTGAATTCCTCATGTGGGGAATGGCAGAAGGTTAGTTTAAGAAGTGTGATGTTGCCAGGCGTTGGTGGCGCACACCTTTAATCCCAGCACTCGGGAGGCAGAGGCAGGTGGATCTCTGTGAGTTCAAGACCAGCCTGGTCTACAAGAGCTAGTTCCAGGACAGCCTCCAAAGCCACAGAGAAACCCTGTCTCGAAAAACCAAAAGAAAAAAACCAAAAAAAAAAAAAACCCAAACAACAACAAAAACAAAAACAAGAAGTGTGATGTTTTTCATGTCAGAAGAAGGCCGTAGCAGCGGTATGATTAACTCTGGGTTAAATGGAATCAGGTAGCCCTGGTCCTCCAGAAGTCTCACTGGGAGGGCAGAAAAGAAACAGAGTCACTCCCTCATCTAGAGGAGGTCGTTTTATTTTTTTTCACTAATCCTTTTTCACACAATGTGTTTTGATCATGCCCCCCCAACTCCTATCACACCCTCGCATCTCCCTACCCACACAACTACATGTCCTCTCTCTCTCCTCTCTCTCTCTCTCTCTCTCTCTCTCTCTCTCTCTCTCTCTCTCTCAAAAAAACCTCACAAAAATGAAAATCCAAACAAACAAGCAAAAAAAAAATCCAATAAGGCCAAAAATGTCAATAAATAAAAGGAATTTTAAAAGCCCACAACAAACTATTATGGAATTTGTTTTGTGTCAGTCAGCTACTCCTGGGCATGGGGCTTGCCTTGGAATATATGGAATATATATCCAGTGGCACACAATTGGAAAAAATAGATTTTCCCTTTGCTAAAAGGTATCGATGGCAATAGATTATCTGTTTTATTTGTTTGGTTTTTTGAGACAGGATTTCCCTGTGTAGCCCTGGCTTATCTGAAATTCACTTTGTGGACTATGCTGGCCTCACAAAGATCCTACCAAGTGCTGGGATTAAAGGTGTACACACAGCAGCACACACAATAGCTCCTCTGTTAAGGGTGAGAGACTGTGTCCTCTTTGTCCTTTCAGTGCTGGGACCCTGTCTGACTCGATCCTGTGCAGGTCTTGTGTGTGCTGACCCAGTCTCCATGAGTTCCCATGTGCATCAGTCCTGTTGTCTTCTGTCCCGCGCCTGCTCTATATTCCTCGCCAGCAAGAAATCATACGCAGGACACTCGGATCCTTCTGCAGACAAGCTTTAATGCATCTTACCAGAGTGGAGACTGAACAGAGACATTGAACCAAGAAAACTATCCCTATATAAAGGCTGACCAGCCGCCTGGGACGTGTTATCCTATGAATGGCTTCAGCTCCTCAGGCAAAAATGAGCCACGGGATAGGCAGAGATCAAAGGAATGGAGATTACCCAGCGCCAGTGAAGTAATTCACATCTTGGTGTCTTTAGGCACCATTATAATGCAGGAACCGGCTTCCTACATATCCCCCTTTTTTTATTAATTAATGAAAAGGCTTTATATAATAATAAGCAAATAGGTCACCCATATGTTGAGGGATAGAGGCAGGGGTTGTACCTTCCCAAAATCAAACATTAAGACTGTGTACGGGAGTCACCATCAGGCTGTTAGCTTGACCCGAAGTACTCTCGACCTGTCCTCTGCCG